ATCTGTAGTGAATCCAGTCAGAATGCCTTTGTGATTTCCTTCAGCACCATCTTGGCCAATAGGGAGTAGGATAAGAAGAGGAGAAGAGGAGTGACCCAGGGTTGAAGGTTAGCAAAGAATTCAAGAGTAGAGGAGGAAAAACCATAATAGTAGCTTACTGACTATAGGGCATAGACTAGGTGGGAAGGAAGTTGGGATCACATCAGGCTTGGTGGGCTGGAAAAATCTGGCCAAAAAAAGAGGAAAAGGTCATACCAAGGGCAAAGAACAGATATGGGAGGAGTAAGAAAGTGGGCGAGAAAGGAAGACAGAAGACTGTAAGTGGAAGAGGAGAATTTCAGACTATAGGATCTTAGGGGTGAAATTGTTTTGATAGATTGTATGGTATAGGGAGTACCTATTCTAGTGGGTACCATAGTCGAGTAGAATTGAGGTCACAGGAAAAGAAGAATTTAAGGAAAAGTGAAAAAAGGAAATTAAAAGGGTCACCTATATGCCTACTGACATAACCAACCATCACAAAACGTGGGCCTGAAAGTCAGACCAAGTCCATAAGCATTTATTAAGTGTCAATTATGTGCCAAGCTCTGGAAGTAACTTTGTAAATCGTCTAATTCAATCACCTCATTTAAAACACTTGTTTTCAATTAACAAAAGTCAATTTTTTCTCCCTCTCATCTTCCCCCACTCCTATACTGGAAAAAGGAAAAAAGGAAAACAAAACTCTTGTAACAAATATGCAGAGTCCAGCAAAACAAATACCAACAATGGCTGTGTTCTAAAAGAAACCTATCTCATTCTGCACGCTGAGTCCATCACTTCTCTATGAAGAGATGGATAGATAGCATGCTCATCATCAGTCCTCTGAATTATCTAACCCTTTTATTTTAAAGACAAAGCAACGTAGGCTCAGAGAGTTAAAGTGAAACTAAGACCTAGAGAGGTTGTGACTTGCCCAGTGTCACACCTGTGTAAATAGAAGAGCTGTAATCTCTGAAGGTGATGACAATGGAAAGGGTGTGGAGTCATGAGTGAGAGGGTAGAGGTGGGAGTCAAGTGCCAATGTCCCAGAGACAGGTGAGAGCACATGCAAGAGGTCATCAGAAGACAGCACTGAGGACTGAGAGTGGCCATGGTGCCCAAGAAATGTTGAATTATGGTGACAGAACATAATGCAGAATTACCAAAAACACTAAATGATTAGAGTCAGCTGGTAGCACAGTAAATAGTACTGGGCCTTGAATCAGGAAGACCTGAGTTCAAATCCAATCTCAAATACTTCCTCGCTTGTGATCCTGGGCAAGTCACTTAACCTCTGCCTCAGTTTCCTCAACTGTAAAATGAGGACAATAATAGCACCAACCTCCCAGGGTTGTTGGAAGGATCAAGTGACATACTTTTTGTAACATGCTTAGCATAGTGCCCGGAACATAGTAGGAGCTTAATGCTTGTTCCCTTCCTCCTCCCTACAACTATTATACTTCTTTTCCATTTACTCTACTATTTTTTCTTGTTCAGCCTCCACATCCATTCACCTGGCTCTTCTCTCCAAAAAGGCATACCAAGACAAGAAGCATCTATTAAGCACTTACTGTGTGCCAGGCACTGTGCTAAGCACTGGGGACACATACAAAAGGCAAAAAAATGATCCCTATTTTCAAGGCTCTCACAGTCTCTTCAGTTTCTCAGTTGATGTACCTTGGGTTACAAATACAAAAATGTATTTCTGAGTATATATACGAATAACCAGTTTGAGGCCATATGCTATTGCTGAAAAAACACTGGACAGGGAGCCTGGTTTGTCTTTGCCAGACTAGCTGTGTGACCTTGGACAGTGACATGAATGTATTTACACTGTACTTTTATCTATGGGTACACGCCCACAGATCTATGGGTATCTATGGGAGCAAGTAGATGAGGTATGTATACACTCTAGCTCAGTGGTTTCTAACTTGAGCCTAGGAAGCAGGAGTGAAATGAGGAGCTGGGACAGGCAGAGAGAAGGGGGTAGGATTTGCTTTGTGTGAATCATAAACTTAGAGTGGTCCTGATAATTATCGGATGTTAGTAACCCCTATGTATGGAAGCTGTCATGTTAACCACCATAAAAACAAACCATGAGAGTCACCCAAGGGAGTTAAAGGATGGTCCATCTTCTTCCGTGGTTGCTTAGTGATATAAAATTTGTTCACCCTACATTTCATTTTTATCTTTAAGATATTTATGAATATTTAGTCAAAACTCAAACAAATTTCAACATATTTGGGTCACTAGCTTTGTTAAATTGTGATAGAATCTCTGGGCAGGGAAAACAAACATGAGGCATTACACATTATTTGTTGGATTGAATTGCATTGAAATAGTAATTTCATACAGTTTTGTTTAGGTTAGGTTGATGTAAATTTGACGTACCTCAGAGCAATATCTCATGATAAACCAATGGCACGTGTCTCTTCTGAATATATCCAAGTATCATTTCACCCAGTATGCATCACTGAAAGCTACATTTACTCACCTTGCAAGACTAGACACAGGGACAGCTAGGTAGCACAGTGGATAGAGCACAGGCCCTAGAGTCAGGAGGACTTGAGCTCAAATCAGGCCTCAGATACTTACTAGCTGTGTGACCCTGGGCAAGTCACTTACCCCAACTGCCTCCAAAAAACCAATCCCCACCCCACCCCCCAAATACTGGACATAGGGCAAGTAGTTCTGTCAGTCAATAAACAGCCACAAACATAACAAAAAAAAAGTACCTACTATTGCCAGGCACTGTGCTAAGTGATGGGAATAAGAGGTAAAGAAACAAAAGACAGCCCCTGTCCTCCAGGAGCTTACAATCTAATGGGGGAGGCAAGCAAATCTATACAAACAAGCTGTGTGTAGTTGAGAGGGAAGGAATAGAATTGAGAGGTTGGGAAAGTCTTCCTGTAGAAGATGGGATCTTTGGGACTTAAAAGCCAGGGAAGGCAGTAGACAGAGACAAGGAGGAGAGCATTTCATGGGTGGGGGACAGGCAGAGAAAATGCCCAGAGTTGAGAGATGTAGTCTTGTTGGTAGAACAGCCAGAAGACTAGGGTGACTGATAAAGAGTGCATGATGGAAGATGATGTGTAAGACTGGAAATGATACTTCTACTGGAAAAGTAGGAGGCCAGATTATGACCGGCTTTTAATGCATGTTGTATTTGATCCTAGAAACAATAGGGAGCTGTGGCAGAGTTAGAATTTCCTCCAGGTCCTGAGATTCCTGAGGCCAGCACTCTTTCTATCACACCATACCGTCTGTGATAATGAAGTCATCTAAGTAAGGGGATACCGACAAATGGACATAGGGCAATGAGTTGGAAGTGAACCTGCATTCTCAAAGGCTATGCCAAGTAGAAGCTGGGAAGGCGTGTTCCATTATGACCATGTGATAGATTTTGTTTGCCTTCCAAAGATCAAGCTAGACTCTGCTGCGCATCACAGAAAGTTTGGCCACCAGGTAATGTTTATTGGTCTCCACTATTTATTAAAACTATATATTACTTTTCTTTTTCCTTTTTTTTTTTTTTAGTGAGGCAATTGGGGTTAAGTGACTTGCCCAGAGTCACACAGCTAGGAAGTATTATGTGTCTGAGGCCAGATTTGAACTCAGGTCCTCCTGACTCCAGGGCCGGTGCTCTATCCACTCCACCACCTAGCTGCCCCAAAACTATATACTACTGAAGGCAAGAAGGGGCTGTGATCTAGATTAGGAGAGTAGATACAGGCATACCTTGTTTAACTGAGATTCGCAGGTAGAGTTTTTCACAAATTGAAGGTTTGTGGCCACCCTGTATCTATAGGTGACTTTTTTTTTTTTTTTGGCGAGGCAATCCGGGTTAAGTGATTTGCCTAGGGTCACACAGCTAGTTAGTATCATGTGTCTGAGGCCGGATTTGAACTCAGGTATTCCCGACTCCAGGGCTGGTGCTCTATCCACTGTGCCACTGTAGCTGCCCCATAGGTAACATTTTTCAACAGCATGTGCTCACATGGTTATTCCAACAATATTTCAAACTTTCTTCATTATTATTACATCTGTTATGGTGATCTTTGATGTTATAAGGTCATTTGTTCTGAGTGTCACGAACTGCACCCATATAAGATGGAACTTAATGTGTGTGTCCTGACTCTCCCTCTCCTTGGCCTTCCCTATTCCTTGAGACACAATATTGAAATCAGATCAATTCATAACCTTTCAATGGCCTTCAAGTGAGGCAAATTTCATTGTCTTATTTTAAGAAATTGCCACAGCCTCCCCAGTCAGCATCCATCAGCAGCCATCAACATTGAGACAAGACCCTCCACCAGCAAAAAGGTGACTCACTGAAGGCTTAGATAATAGCATTTCTTAGCAATAAAGTGTTTAATTAAGATATGTTTACACTATATTATTAAAAAATGTATTTAACTCATATGCACTGGGAAACCAAAAAATTCATGTGACCGGCTTCATTGAGACACTTCCTTTATTGTGGTGGTCTGGAACCGAACCCACAATATCTGAGGTATGTCTGTGTAACCAGTGAAATCAAGGATCCACAAAATATTAAGTAACAGCTCTATTAGACTGAATGTAAATAATTTTTACATTTCAACTGGAAAGATGTATGTGAAAAGTTCTTATCTGGGTTTTAAAATGGAAATTTTTTCAAATATGAAAATTTGAATTGTAAAGCAGCATATGAATAGATACATTTTCCAATGACGAAATAAATATTTACCTAACTTTTGGGGGAAAAAAACACAGGGGTAGCTTGGTGGCAAAGTGGATAAGGAGGACCTGAGTTCAAATCCAGCCTCAGACCAAACACTTGACACTTACTAGCTGTGTGACCCTGGGCAAGTCACTTAGCCCCAATTGCCTAAAAAAGAAAAAAAAAAAACAAGAACACAGTATCACTTTCATTATAGTAGACAATTTATCTTACAAGTCATTATATATTTGCCCTCCAAAGAATACATAAGTACAAATAAATGCAAAAAATCCTCAAGAACACTTTAATGAACTACATATATTTTATACAAAATGGAATTCCTCCTTCAGAGTCCAAAAATGTAGGGAGACCCTAAAAATGTAGTAGAAGCACTTCCGCACACTGGTTTCAGTAGCCTAGTTTGTGCAGAAATGTTTCCACTAGATTCATAGAGTGCGATTTAGATGAAGACTCTTCATTTGGTCAACTGTTTGACAGTCTGCAGCTCTTCAACAGGCTCCCACTTTTGGTTAATTGTGAAAAGCTATTAAAAAAACCAGAGAACATTATTTGAGAAAGAATTCTAAAATAAGAAATTGCCTTTTTATAATCATTTATGAAATGTTCTATGAAATGCTTATAAGACATTGTACTTGGCACTAAACACAGAAGCGTGGATCCTGTTCCAAAAAGAAACCCAGAATTTGTAATGATCTAGAGCTTTTAAGAAATTGTCCATAATGAATCAAGGTACGAAGGAATAAGGACAATTAAAAAAGGGCCTCTTGAAATGTTTAGAACAGCGAAGGCTGAAGTTCACTGCTTAAGAACAGATAAAGTCATGTTAAGAGATGACAGAAATTCAAAGTTTCTATTTTGCTTGTCTGTTAGATCACTGAGAATTATCTTAAAATTGGAAAAGAATGAAACAAAAATCATTTAAAGGTAATTAGAGTTCCAACACAGGTTGAGATGGGAAATACTTCAAAATGAGTTAAAATCTTTGGCCAAGAAAGGTTCTGGGTTTCTTAACTTTTTGTGATATGGACTCCATCAGCTAATTCGTGAAGCCTATGGATCCCTTCTCAGAATAATGGCTTTAATTTATAAAATAAAATCATTGGATTACAAAGGAAACCAGGTATATCAGAATGCAGTTCTCTTTATTTCTATATGTATATGTAGGGATGTGTGTATGTATGTTTACACACATTCACAGTCCCTAAGTTAAGAAACTCCTGGCCTAAATGGATTACACATAAAGATATTAAAAGAACTTGGATTCATGAAAGGAGTCACAGGAGGAAAAAAAGGGGGGAGTTCTCAGTAATATGAGCAATGCAATTGGTGATAAATAATGCAGATCTAAACTCTTTCTGAATAAATGGAGGACAATTCCCATTGAATGGAATAGTGGGAACTTTCTTTTAAGAATGTCGCAGACCAGTTGATTCAAGGGATAGAAAAGAGGAGACTGAACTTAGATGAGTGGATAACCAACGGATGTGGAGGAGGGCAATTTGTTCTAAGTTTGACAACCACTTTTAATCCATTTCCCAAAGAAAGGTCTTTTGTTACTCTACCCCTTAAGTATATAAGTCTGGAAAGGGTTTTCTGACCTATGACTGACTTATTACTTAGTATTTCTAGAGAAATGAAGACTTGGACAGGGGGACCTGCTTGTTTTAACAAATTTGAAGGGAGGTTACCTTAAGAGGAACCAAATTATTCTTCTATAACTCAACAGTAGAGAGGAGGGGAATGGGGTTGGTCAGGAACACAGTCACACAGATTTGGCTTCACATATGAAATCTATTCTTGTGAAGTAGTAAGATTCTCACCCACAAGTATTCAACAAGTTGGATGACTACTTGTCAGAGAAGCTTTAGAAAGGATTTCTCAGACAGGTGAGAATTTAGACTAAGTGACACCTAAAGTCTCTTCAGCTCTACAGATCTCATTTATCCCCACTCCACAGGAATAATGCTTTCCCTATATAGTAGTTAGAACTATGTTGCATTATTCATTATTTGGCACAAGACAGTTATAACATACATTTATTAATTCTGTAATTAATTCTTAATTCTATTTTGCTTTAAAAAGTTCTTATAGTTTGGGCCTAACTTGACTTGTCAGGTTATTTTATCAGTACCTTCTGAGGCTCGTAGGGATTCACATTTTCCCATGGTTCTGGATTTTTCTGTTTGTTAACACTAAAAAAAAAAATAATGAAATGAGATAACATTGTGACATCATAACCTCAAGATTTTGCTTTTAAAACTCACCCAGTTCTGCTTTGGGAGCACCATCATGCATTTAATCTATCTTATAACACTAGTTGCATAGAATTGATTTAGTTAAGAGCTGCTAAGTCACAAGAGATTTATTAGACATATACGGCTGCATATGTAAGACAGCTCCTATCCTATTCTACTGTAGAGTTTTGAAGGGACAAAAACTGAGCTCACTCCCCCTAGGTGATTTCTAGATTTCTCTTTCTCCCTTCAGCTGAGCAGACTGTTGGTGGTTTAAACAAAGCACTACAAAGGGAAGAACAAAGAAAGGGAAACTAAGGGAGAGTAGGTTCCAAAGGGGTCATATATAATAGCTCCAAATTCCAAGCTGAGAATAAATTTTAATTAACAGCCTATTGAGTATTGCATCACAAAAGATAGATATTTGTAACAGCTTAAAAATAAAATGGAAAAATACCTTACAATTGAAATCATTATTTGATTATGTAATGCTCAATATTGCATTTTTTGGAAAATCTTTTTAAGTTTAGAAATTGAAAAATAAAATCCAAAATTGTGCCCCATTTGAAAAGTCATGGACTAAAAGATACTTGTAAGAAAAAAAAAGTTAAACTAATGAATTTCTCAATTTTTTAATCTTTATGCATTTGAAATTTTTTGCCAGCTTTGACTCCATGTCCAGAAACTGCTATTCTCACACCAGAAAGAATAAATGAATAAAGCATTTATTAAGCTATTACTATGTGCAAAACGCTGAGAATCTATATTCAAAAGTAAGACTATTCTAGCTCTCCAGAAGCTCACATTCTAATAGGGGAAGACAACACAAATAAGAAAACTGGGTAACTTTTCATAATCCACACATCAACCTAAAGACAATAACTGTCTTCCAGCTATATCCCCATTTTACTTACATCACATCAGTTTTGAAAAGGGAGTATACGGACATGCAGGCTGCTCCAACTCCAGCAAAACTCACAAATGCGATCAAAGGAATAAGCTAATGGACAAAATATTGCAAAAGAACATCTTCAGATGACTCTTTAAAATATTAAATGATGCAGAATAATAAACTTTGCTTGTTGTAATAATGTAAAAAAAATGCTAATACTTACTTCTTTCTTTTTCATCATGAGTTGTAAGAAGCTCATGACTGCGGCTTTTGGGGTGGAGGTCTAGAACAAAGAAGTCCAGTTATTGCTCAAATCAGTCACTGATGCCCTCAAATAAGTACCTGCATCCAATGACCCTAAAGGGCAGTCCTTACCCACCCACCACTCACCACCAAAACAAACAAACAAAAGTGGAATAGTCTAAAGATTTCCAGTTGCAGCCGAGAATGGATAAAGCGACCCAAAATTTCCTTACCAAAGAGGATGACCAGGTATTGGAGTGACTGTTGGCAAAGCTGAGAACTGTATCCTGGATCCTTCCTGCCTCTAAAGTTTATATACCGAAGATTACGCCCAGAAGGAGGCCGGCCAAAGCCCAAATCACGTAGACATAGGTTGGTCACTTAATTTCATTTCCTAAAGGGCACTTCCCCTTCTCCGTCTCCCCGGACTTTCTTCAGGTTTTTGAGTCCCTGGCGTAACTAGATCAAGTATGCCTGAGATTAAGTACTGGAGAGAGAAACAAAACGTAGTCCTCGCGCCCTCTGCCGGAAACTGAATAATGCCAGGTGAGTGGCAAACGAGCTCCAGGTAAAGAGGTCGGTGTCTCTTCCTCAAACTCCTTCCCCTCCCTCTCTCTTCCCAACCTCAACGCTCCAACCCTCACTAGCGCGCTCCACCTCGGAACTTAAGCTTGAGTTCTTTGGCTCCTGGAATGCATTTGAGGAGTCCAGGAGAGTGTGGTGGGAAAGTGAGAATTGTTTTATTATATTGTTACAGAGGAAAAGAGGGAGAGTTGGGCGATTCGTTGGATAGCGCGTGGGGTGAAGCCGGTGGAATCTGATCAATCAATCAATTCGTCAAAAAAATTTTACTTAGCACCTACTATGTGCCAGATACTGGGCTAAAGAGCTGCAGATACAAAAAAAAAAAAAGGCAAAAGACTGTCCTCAAGGAGCTTGCAATGTAGTGGGTGAGACAACATACAAATATATATCAAACAAGCTATATACAGGATAAATTGTAAATAATTAACAGAGGCACTGGAATTAAGATAGATTGGGAAAGGCTTCCTTTAGATGGTGGACTTCTAGGTTGGGACTTAAAAGAAACCAAGGAGGTCAGAATTTGAGAGAGGACGAGGGAGAGTGTTCTTAGAGAAAATGCCTGAAGATGAAAGATGAAGCACTTTTTTTTGTGGAACGGCCAGGAGGCCGTGTCACTGTATCGAAAAGTACTTGTCAAGGAGTAAGGGGTGAGCAGACTGAATGCCAAAGAGAGCATTTTGTATTTGATCCTATGGGCAAAAGGAAACCACTAGAGTTTAAATAAGGGGAGAGGGGGACGGGATATGATCGGACCTGCTCTTAGGAAAAATCACTTTAGTGGTTTGAATGGAGGATGGATTGAAGCTGGGAGAGACTTGAGGAAGGCCGGCCCACCCACACTTACCGCAATCCAGATGTAAAGTGATGAAGGCCAGGCACCGGAGTGACGGCAGTCTCAGAGGAGTAAAGGTGTATTTAGTAGATGTTGCAAAGGTGAAATCGACTGACCTTGGCAACAGCTTGGATATGGAGGTGAGACATAGAGAGGAATTCAGGGTGACTCCTTTTTTGCAAGCGTAGGTGATCAAGGCGAAGGTGTTACTCTTTACGGTAATAGAGAAAGTAGCAGGTGGGAAGAGTTTAGTAGGGAAGATAGAGTTCTGTTCTGACCAGCAGGTGGAATCTGATCAACCGATGGAGTCTGATCAGTCTGTTAACTCGGACTTATGTTTCTAAGAAAGAAATGCTCTGTTTTCTTAGGTGACAAAGAATGGGAATCTGAGGGGATGTTCATAAATTGGGAAACTGATTAACAAGTTATGGTATTTAAATTTGATTGAACATTATTTATCAGTCGAATAACTAACCAAGATTCCAAAGGACTAATAATGAAACATTCTTTCCACTTCCTTATAGAGGTGGACTTTCTTTTTTTAAATGGCCAATGTGGAAAGCTGTTTTGATTGACTCCACATGTTGGGTTTTTTTTTTCCCCCTAGCGTTCTCAATTGGAGAGGGTGGGGACTGTGGGGGTTGGGAGGGAGAGGGCGGTTCTCAGGGTCTCACTGCTAGTTAGGGTCTGTCGCTGTATGTAAATTCAGGTCTTCCTGACTCCAGGCTCAGCATTGCCACCTCGCTGTATCGTGGTCGCCTCCAAGGTTCCTTCAAACTCTACCTTCATGATCCAAAGATCAATCAATAATCCCTAAAACCAATGTAGTCTTCCAAAGTAGAAATATAATGAATGTGTTCTAAGCTATAGCTAAACCTGGAGGAAGCACAGCTTCCCTGACTTTTCCTACATGCCCCTGGGTCAGTTATCTTCTCCTCCTCCTCTGCTTTCCCCGCTTTTCAGCTTCCTTTTGTGGGTGCCCGGCCTTCTCCCCCGCTCCACCCTTAGACTGTAAGCTCCCTGAGAACAGGGACTGCTTTTTGGGGGGGGGGTATTTGTGTCTTTAGCACAGTGTAGGGGAGGAGAGGGAGGACGCTTAGTAAGCACCTAATTAATGTTTATTGATTGACTAACCTGTCAACCCAACTACTCACCAGCTTTGTAAATCAACTATGTGCATTTCCACAGATATTATACATTTCCCATTCACACTCAAAACTCAGGCCAATAACCATAGCTTTTAAAGGTGAAAGCCCTTTAATAAATACCATCTAGGTTCATTGTTGGTGTAACCAGTCTCAAAGCTCTTTGGACTGGGAAGGGGAACTAAGAGGGAGGGAAGGTTAAGGGAGGGATTAGTTCTAAGGCCAAAAACAAAAAATGCTCTATGCATGTACAAAAATATTTATAGCTTTTTCTTTTTGAAGTAGCAAAGAATGGGAATCTGAGAAGTAGCAAAGAATGGGAATCTGGGAGAGTGCTCATAAATTGGGAAATTGATGAACAAGTTATCATATATAAATGTGATGGAATATAAATGTGCTAAACTCTTATCAGTCTAATTGACGACGTCTAGAGGTTTGGGGGTTGGGACCTCCACGATTGCTCAATGTGGACCCTGCCTGAATGAATTCAGCCAGAGGAAAGGTTTATTAGAGATAAACCATACAGGCCAGACTCTTAAGGAATCTGAACATTAGTAACGCCTGTAGGGATGAGGGCATGAGAAAGTCTCATGCGTGACAGAGTCTCAGCGTTAGAATGGGGGCCAGGGTGGATCTTACATACACTAAAGCAACTTTGGGTGGCCAGAGGAGGGGACTGGGAAAAGAGTCTAGGTGAGAATTCTGATTGGAAGGTCTGTGAGATTGAATAGACAATAGGAATAGGTAATGAAGGGAACTGGAAGGAAGAAGTTTGAAAGGCATCTGCATAAGATCAAAAGGTGGGGCTAGGGCTTTCAAAGGGAGATAAAGGGAGTCTATAAGGAGCCTAAAAGTTTAAAGGTTTTCTGGGGCCTGTAGACAAATGGGAACCAAATTCTTTTTGGTGGAAGGGGCAAATGTCTCGGCTTCTGAAACTGAATGATGGGCCCATACCCCATCATAATGACCAATGATTTCCAGACAACTAATGAAAAAACATGCTATCTAACTTCTAACAAAGAGGTAGGCATCTTTTTGGACTTGGCCAGTATGGAAAGTTGTTTTAATTGTAATCCCATTAGATTGTAAACTCCTAGAGGGCAGAGACTATCTTTTGCCTCTTTTTGTATCCTCAGTGCTTAGGGAGAGCCTGGTACTTAGGAGGTCTTAATAAATCTTGATTGATGGATTGGTTTTACTTGTTTGTAATGTCTGCTGTTCTCACTTGGAGGGGAGAGCTTGGAGTGAGAGGGTGCCCAGAGTCACAAAGTTAGAGGGCCTGAAGCTGGATGTGAAGGAATTAGGCCTTCTGGATTCTGGGCTCAGCGCTGCCCACTGTACCTCCTAGCTGTGGCTGGATTTGATGGCCCTTAGAGACTCCTTAGAACTCTAACTCGGATCCTATGATTAATCAATAATCCCTAACTCTCTCCTGATGGAGACCAATGCCCAGGCCAGCCGTGAGGGTTAGACCCTAGTCTGGGACAGCAATAGTAGTCTCTTCTAGCCCTTCAATATCTTCAGGCCTTGTAGTCTCTGTGCCCCTCTGGCTTCCAGCTTTGAGAGAGAATATAGACAATGCCAACCTCTTCAGGTTGCTGAAGAGAAAGTAAGACTCTAGGAAAGCACCAGTGTGAGAAGAGTTGGTATTCTCCATCATGTCCTCCTCAGCTTGCTTTGGGGCATTTCTCCTTGGGTGAGATCTGGGATTCTCTCGGTGGAGCTGAGTTACCTCTCCCTTAATGTGAGAGCTCCTTCACTCTTTATTGCCTGTTATTTTTCTATGTATACTTTCTCTGATTTCTGTTTTCCCACAACTTGGATAAATGGGGTTTCTTTGCTCTTTGCTATGTGTATGTTCATTATGGAACTAGTATTTGGTGAGAAGAGATTCAAGCTTTGGATATAAAGCTTAGGGTTCTCCTTCACGCATTAAGAAAATTAGAGGCCAAAGTCACAGTGTTAACAATACCCTGATCTAGTTTGGAAGCTAGCTATTTGAAAAGTTTCTAAAGTTTTAAACTCTTCTCCACTCCTTCTGGGGCCAAAGGGCTCTCTTTTAGGCTATGAAGGTTGGAAAGACAGGACCAGTTAACTGAATATAAGGGAAGGGTGAGGAATTGAGAATGATACCTCTCTGGGGGCTTTGGTGACCAGGAAGGATGATGGTGGTGCCTTCAACAGAGATAAGTAAGAAAAGAGGGGAGTACTTGGGGAAACAAGACAATGAGTTCAGGTTTTGGATATGCTGAGCTTATGATATCTATAAGAAATTTAGTTCAAGACGTCTAATAGGCAATGGAGGATGTGACAATGGAGGTCAGCAGAGAGTTTGAGGCTGGACAAATAGGTATAGGGATGATAGCTGAATCCATGGGAGCTGATGATCTCACAAAGTGAAATAGTATTATATAGAAGGAGAAAAGTAGAGGACCTAGGTCAGAGCCTTGGGGGACACCCATAGCTAATAATGACTGTGGCAGCCTGATAGTATTTAAAAACTGTTCTCATGAAGAAGGATGCTCACTTTTGACCAAACTGAGGCCTAGAAAGGTTAAGCGACTTGCCCCAAGTCCTATAAGAACTCTAATATCTCTCCAGGTCTTAAGATTCTGAAGGCCAACACTTCTTCTATACTGTCTTCATTCATTTAGTTTATTTCTACCACATATCTGAATGGAGAAGATTCTCATTAATGAGGTCATCCACTTAAGAGCAAACTTTGAAAATGGGCATGGGGCAAGTAGTTGGAAGTGATTATACATTTTTGATGGCTATGCCAAGTAGAAACTGAGAAAACCTCTTCCATTAGGGGCCTGGTGATAGATTTTGTCTGCCTTCCAAAGATCAGTCTATATTCTGTGAAGCTCATCACCAAAAGTTTGACCAACA